TAAGGAAAAATCACAAAAATCACGATTACTGAAAAAGTTACATGTAGAATTTAATGAAACTTACCCACAATATACAACACATAGTAATGTATCAAATAACATAAAAAATAATTACCAGACAAATGGTAGTATAGAAATTAGCACATGTATAAAATGAACAAATCGAAGGTGTCAGTTTGCTATAGGAAAAGTACCTTCAGTATGGAATATGATCGCCTCTAGAAGCAATACAGCACATACAGCGATGTGTGATGCTTTCAATTATGCGGTCTATCAGTTTCATAGGAAGCGAGAGCCATTGCTCTTGCAAAGCAGTTGCAAGCATGACAAGGATTTGAGGGGGCGGATTGAGAGCAGATAGACGTCTCTCTAAAGCATCTCAAACGTACTCGATAGGATTCAAGTCTGGGGATCAAGCTGACCACTCCATGCGCATAATTGTTTCCTGTTGAAGATAATCATCTATGATGCGAGCCCTGTGTGGTCTTGCATTGTCGTCCTGTAACAGGAAAGCATCATCTATTGCCCCGACATATGGGCACACATAAACATCAAGGATGTCATCTCTATAAATCTGAGCATTCACAGTTCCCCTTGGAAAGACATGGAGGTCTGTGCGTCCACCCAAAGAGATGCCACCCCAAACACAGACACTGCCCCTTCCGTATGCATCTCTTTCTAGGATGTTTGACGGATGATAACGGGTTCTAGGTTCTCTTCATATCAAATAATGTGTATTATTGCTTTCTAGACTAAACCCGGATTCATCCGTAAAGAGAACCGCCCTCCATTGATCAGCCGTCCAGTGGACATGTTGTCATGCCCACTGAAAACGGTCCCTCCTATGGCGTGACGTGAGCGACACACAAATGGATGGTCGCCTCGCATACAGAACACCTTCGTGAAGCCTTCTACGTACAGTTGACGTTGACACGAACCTTCCAGTGGCTGCAGCAAGGGAGGATCTAAAAAGAGTCGGAGTAGCAGTTCTGTTCCTGCGTGCAGTTGACGTTGACACGAACCTACGTACATACAGTTGACGTTGACACAAACCTTCCATTGGCTGCAGCAAGGGAGGATCTAAGAAGAGTCGGAGTAGCGGTTCTATTCCTGCGTGCACATATCAAATGTCGGTCATCAGTGCTCGTCGTAGCAGTTGGCTGTCCTTGGCTGAACCTCCTAGATGCCAAATCTGTGGTTTGAAATTGCCTCCAAAGTCTATGAACCATAGAAGGACTCACATTTAGCCATCTGGCCACTTCTGTTTGACTTTGTCCTGCTTCTAGTCTCCCAATGGCTTTCTATTGTAGTTCTGCAAGCAAATGATGCCTGGAGGTCATTGTTACAAATTGGCTATCTCAGATTTCTGATGTCACTTTCACAGTGAAATATGTGGGCTTGCTCTCAAACATGGACTTTTTATGCTCCTTGCAGATGACGTATTCCAAAAGCAGCGCCACTAATTTGCATATCGCAGTTTTACTCAGCTACTCTTACTTGGCAACATATTCCAATTTTGCACGGTTTGCCGTATTTTTGAGGGAATTATCGCTGTTTTTGTGATTTTTCCTTAATTTATGAGAACCAGTGTACTATTTGGTATCCAATGGTAGTGTATTATTTTGCTTAGCATGCAGTGTTACTCTTTTTATAACATTAAATAAATGTGTCATTCTTCAATAAATATGTTTGAGTGTGGGTTTTATCAAAAAGCAAAATGTTTTCACATTTAGACAAACTGAAAGATAAAATGTAATTTTCATTTTTCATACTATTATGTTAATAATACTTCATTTTAAGAGTTAATCGTAAACATTTTCCCTGTAATATCGTCACTGCATAAAGGTGCTTGCTAGACATTTGAGGGACGGTGCAGATCAGGCTTGGCACGGGCTTGAGCTTAGAGCCCCCACTTTCTTTCCCCCCCCCGAAAAAACCTCTAAGTATCCAAAAATCATAATTGGGCCACTGATATATAATATCTGCACTTATAAAGGGCTCCATATCTCAAATAGCTTAGGGCCTTATCAAGTCTGAATCCGACCTTGTATAAATGATACCAAAATAGGTGATGCTTTCTAGCAATAAATAAAATTAGCACTTTCATAATTTCGTTCACTTTGTATGCAAATTAATAATTTTAAAATATAAACCGTAAATGAATCTCTAATTCACTGCAACATAATTTCAAGTGCTTTCAGCAATTTTAAAAATAGCTTCAGTGAAGAAGCATTATATCCAAATGCAAAATTTTATAAATTTATTTGGTGTATTAGTCAGTATATGAAAGCTTTTATTCGTATTATTCTACATTGGCGTTTCATTTATTAGTTTGGTGGCTTTTTTCAATTTACTTGCCAAGTAAGATTTCTCTTGACATTAGAAATTTTTTAATAAACTTTTTATTACTATTTAGCTATGGATTTTTTTGCAATATATGATTTCATATGTACACCATATATTTAATGATAATGTAATAAGAATTTGTAATGTAAAAAAATGGGATAAAATATAAAGAATATATATCAACCAAAATTGGCAAACTGTCACAAAAAAAGTATAAATTAAAAACAATTGAAGCTAAAATTTGAAAGTCAAACCTGAGATCAAAATTAATGCAAAAACAAAAGAAAAAGTTCTTCAGTTTATTGTATATTTCAAATTATATATATATTTGAAATTTTTACTTGAGAATGTTTCCTAGTAAGATTAGTGTTTATGTTCTTAGGCAAATGTTAGTTCCCTTTTATAGTGAAGAAAGATTTTATTTACAACAATGCAGAAAATGTAATCACAAAAGAGGAGCTACATCCATATAGGAAAAACATGTATTAAAATTAAAACATAAATGTTTCAATAAAATTAAAAAAACTGATATTAAATATATAAAGTTATAAAAAGTTGTTGAAATTTCATTGGTTTTCTCAAGGAGCAGCCAAAGAATTTTCAACAGAGCTACGTTTTTGAGTTTTATCTAGATGATTATTAAAACTAGAAACAATAAAAAAGTTACAGAAAATGCCAATGAAGAATATAATGCTTGTTTGCAGAAGAGAGAATTTGCACATTATGTCAAATTTCTGAAAAAATATTATAGAGATTTTATAAAATTTGGTATGAGTATACATTTATAACAGAGAAAGATATCTAACATTCAAAAGTTATTTTATGTATGCATGATTATCAGTAAAACTCTTAGTGTAGAGATGTTCAAAATCCACACTATGATATTGAACTGAAAATGAGTCTGATGTGTGGTATGGCCCCTTCTCACGGCTAGACAGATCATGCAGCCTGATGGCGTATTGGACAGATAGGAGTTAAGGAGTCCCAGTGGCAGTCGATCCCACTCCTGCTGTGCATCTTTAAAAGTTGAACATAGGGCTGTAAGACCTCTCCTCTGTACCTCAAAGTAGACAACAACAACAACAACAATATTGGCTGCCCCGCCTCGTGGAACTAAATCACCTTACGGGTCCACTTCCCCTTTGGGCACTTCGTGGAGGTTCAACCTCCACTATTACCCTTCCAAGGGAGCAGCACACCACCTGGATAAGACACCAGCCAGCACCGGTCGTCAATTTGCTCCTGCCAGTCGCATAAGCGAGCCCGTCGCAGTGGGCTGTTACCCAGCAAACCGAGGGGAACTAGTCCTCCGGCTACGGTTCCACACCGCTCAGGACATGCCAGTCCCCGTGGTTGGCTAATAAGTGACCTTTCCCAGGGGCTTCAGAACCACCAAATTCATAAATTTTATCCCCCGTAGCCGAGACTGCCTAGGTACAGATCCTAGCCAGTAACTTCGCAGAGTTCTCTACGTCAACCCCCCGGGGGGATCCTCAAAGTAGACACGAAGCCTTTGGGAAACACATGCAGGGGTCTTCTCTTTTCCTCAGAACAGTTCATGGAGTTCAAAACTTCAGAACAATCAGGGAGCCTTTGTTAAACACATGCAGAGTCCAACATAATGCCTGCACAAACCAATACATCTGAAAACACTATAATGATATTTGTCCCTGATGACACAAAGATGATATTTTCCAAGTTCTCTCCAGACAGGTACACCTAGAATCAGTGTCTAGGCTGAATCTTGATTCATCTATGTGCTGCAGTGAACGAGAAGCAAATATCAGGTACTCTGGCTTACAAGCCAAAGCCTTTGGGCAACTGTAGACCATGAAATTTGGATTTGATAGCTTTGCACCTTACGTGAAAGCTGTGAAACTTAGATTCATAGCTCTCACATTAGTGAGATGTGTTGCTGCTCCGAAAATGCAAATAACTATCCTCAATTCGTCATTGAGGATTTTGGTTGACCTGGTCCAGGTCTTCTCAGTGTGAATTCAGTGTCCTGAAATTGTTCCCACAACTTGCAAGTGGCACTGGGTGTAGCATTGAACTCTGTAGCCACATGTACTTATGATTAGCCTGCCTCCAGTGTACCAACTATTCTCCATCTCATTCCATCATCCATGTTTGTGACTACTCATTTTATCTGATACCTTATAGAATTTGCCCAACTCTTGCGAGAAACATGGCAAATGCCATGAAGGTATATAAGCACACAAAATGCCTTGTCCCATAATTATAGCTTCGTAGACTAGCATGGGTCTGCTTACTTATTTAACTCTGAGTATTTGCATACTTCTTCAATAGCATAATTAGTACTTTTGGTTCAATACTTTTTCATAAAAATAGATATTATTTGCAAATTCTCATGACTTTTGCACATGAGTGTGTATATATACATACTATATATAATACTTAAAGTGGGCATGCTATCTAGGTATATTTTATCCATTATATATAGTGATAAATGTACATCCTTGCAGTACAATGAATTCATTTTTAAAGAGGTATCATAAGAAGTGGGGGAATATTTGTCATGTAAATTCAATTTATTAGATTGAGACATGCAGAAAATGCCAGATTAAAAAAAAAAAAAATATCTATCTAATGGAGAAGTTTTCACTAATATTTGTTGTTTAACATCCTCACAGCATGCGCCCAGATATTTTTAACAAATTGCTTATTCTGGAACAAAAGCAAGAACCTTTGGAGACAGAAGCAAAGAGATATTTGAAGAGATTAATCATTTTAGGAAAAAGAAATGGTATGTGTTTATCCATTCCTTTAATTCATCTTTTAATGCAGTAAAAAGAATGTTTTGTTTGCTATTGAATTTTTTACAAACAGTATTTGTTCAACAAGCTGATAGTTTAAAATAATATTTATTTGGATGTATTGATTTCTTAGCACTGATCTTTTTTAATATAATGGCTGTTTCATAAAGGCCTATTTAAATTTAATTCAATTATGAAAGAAGTGTTTTATTCAAAAACAGTATTAATTTTTTTTTAAATTCTATTCAAAAAGGGCTCGCATCCTTTACAGTTACAGTTAGTACAGTTTGCAGTTAGTCCACTTTTATTAAAAGCATTAAAATTCCTCTTTTAGATTGAATTAAATATGTATAAAATAAGGACATTTGAGATGACACACGTATTATATGCACATGTGAGATAAAAAATATGCAAAGGAAACTTCTGATTTTAATTGGCAATAATCTGTTTTATTCATCATTTTAATATAAGAATACTTTTATAAAAGCACTGAAAATCCCACTGTTAGATTCGATTAACTCACTATGTGTAAAATAAGAACATACGAGACGACATACACACACACACATACATATACATATAAGATAAAAAATATGTAAAGCAAATATCTTATTTAACTGACAATACCTCTTTTATTCTTCATTTGAAGTTAAGGATATCCCCTTTCTGTTTTAAATATAGTAACTATTAAAATATCAATCTAAACTGCCTTATTTCAGATTAACCGGTATCATATGATCTTGCATAACATTGTGATGCAGATACGTTTCAGCCAATTAGTGAATAAGATTTCATTTATAATAAAAAATTGTTTAGAACAAAAACTTTTTTACTGTCTCCTTGCTTTACTTCTCAATGAGTTACACTTTTCCACTTGCTTGCTTAAAGCTAATGGTAATGGCTCACTTTTCTCCGTCATGTTAAGATGTAAACTTCCAAAAATGTGAGGTACAGAGTCTGCCCTTTTATGATATGTAAATCAGAATACGCATTTGAAATATTATTTTGTCCAGAAATAAATTGTGTTGTATTTGCAGCTTTGTTTGCCTGCAAGTTTCATTTTTCTGCTATGGAATTGCACGTTTTACAAATCCAGCACTATCTACAACCATTGGCCTTGATTAGTCTGTTGTGTCTTATCTCACCACATTTAAAATTATTATATATCATCTATATCTCTCTCTATATATATTTCACTAAATAAATTATAAACGAAATTAGTATTTCTAATGAACAAATCCTATTCTCTGGCTTCAACATCAATCTTTCATTATGTGTACTTCAACTATAAGCTTCCAAAATTTAAACTAATAAGAAATTTTAGCTGTTATATTTATTTCAGCATAGCAAAAGTCATTAAAAAAACAAATCTTGTTTTATATGAGTAAGATTGTCAGTTTATTCAATCAGCATACCATATTTTTATAGTTTTAAATATATAGAGCATTTCTAGTCTGAATGCATGAATCATTTTCTTTTATTCAACCTCTTCTCTTACTCTAGTATAATCCTACTGATATTTGCAATAGTGTCACTTTTTGTTGCTTATATAATTCCTTCTGCTACTTCAGTGTTACAACATTCACTCTAAAGAAAATTTCTGCCTTCATAATTAATCATTAAAATTGTTTGCTTTCTGGCCAAAAAAAAAAAAAAAAAAAAAGGCTTACTTAACACCTTGTGTGAATAACCTGCTCTATTAACTCTTCTAGGCTACCCTTTGAAAAACTTACAGCAATGGCAACCATTGTCTCCGAGACGAAATATGCGTAAACGTACTTAAAACTTATTTTAAAAGCTAATTAGAATAAAAATGTACTACCTGCAGGTGATTTCATGACTCAAACTTGAAGCAGGCAAGAAAGTATAATTTATTTATTTTCAAAGTAGTCTTTACACATATTAGCAAGATGTTCTCCACACATTGTTCTGGAACATGTTTGACAAAAGTTGCGTGTCATTCTGCACAAATTGTATGGGCAAAATGCACAAATTATTTATTTTTTTTTACCCTGTGATTGTTTGGGAGGTTGAATGTTCAAATCTAATTTCAACTGTTCCGTTATAAGTGTTCTTGTTGATCAAGGCAAAGTTGGTACGTTGATACGTTTCTTCATCCATAGAGATCTTCATTTAGCTTTATTACGAACTTTTTTCTCGATAATGCCTTTTCGGATTTTCGAGCTATATTATGCACATATATAACATGTGCATTCACTAAGCTGATATTAATCATGCCATAAAACACACAAAGAGGCCCATCGACATGTTTTTCTACTACATGATATATTGTTGCACATCTGATCCAATGTGTCTTATGGCCCCGTTTGTGGAATTATAAAGTTCTATTATTTCTGGTTTATTACTTTCTTGATTTACATTTGGTTTTTCATGGAATGTAGACAAAAAAATGAAACACTTATTTGGTTTTGTTTTATAGGACAGAAGAGTTTTCGCTTTGTCAAAACGATATATTGAAGTTCCAACACTTCGAGAATGCAACTGTAAGAGTTCTGCAGGAATTTCTCTCTTATTTTTCCAGACAGTTCCTACAATTGTTAAATTCATTGGACTCGTAAGAAGTTTTTCAAATAAGGGTATTGATGTGAACCAGTTATCCATCGTGACATTTCTCTTAGTCCCTTGAATGCTTTTTGTTAATTCTTCGACAAAGTGAGATGCTAGAGGAATGAATACCTTTAATTTGAGTATTCGAAATCTAAACAAGGTATTGCATTGATCATATAGTTTGTTCCTACATCGCACATCGTTACTATTTTGATGCCATATTTTGCAGGCTTATTCGGTATATACATTCTAAATGGACATCTTCCTAGAAAACGTAATAATTGTCCATCAATTTTAACATAGGATCCTGGTTTATAAGAATCCATACAACTCTTAATGAATTCATCTCAAATCTCTCTGATTGGTGCAAATTTATCTTTTTCTTTTCTCTCTACTCTAGTTTCTTTTGAGTCAAAACGTAGACAATTCAGCAGAAAACGGAACCTAACTTCACTCATTCAAGCTTTGTGCCACTGACTGCATAATGTATCAAATAACTCACTTGATGCTAAATGATTATTTGTCATAGCTGCTGACAGAACAAGTAATCCCAATAAAGCTTTAATTTCGTCAACACAGTTTTCCGATACTGAAAATTTTTTAGCAGTATAACTTTCTTTTTTTCTTGTAGTTTCAGAATTAGTATGAGAAACAATTATTTCCAACATCTGAGGAGTGAAAAACGATTAAATGATTCAAGAGGAGTAAAAAGTTCTTTTGCTAAGTCCATTGGTCCATGAATAAAATGAATAATATTGTGAGATGCTGTCCTTGTGTTGCTTGATTTAGGAACAGATGGCCACTTATCTTTACCAGTGAGCTGAATTTTACCAGGGTAAATAATAAATTTTCACATGATTTAAAAAATTTTGCAATTTTTTCAGCTTTTTTCGCATTTGCTTTTTTAGCTTCATAGTTCAACTTCATATTTTCATCTTCAAGGATTTGTTTTTCAAGCATTGTTTCTTCTTCCTCTTTGTTGTTAAATGGTAATTCCTCATTTTCATCTTTGTTGCTATCTGTCAATTCATGATTTTCAACTTCAGTAAAATCATCTTTTTTTTTAATATTCATCTTCCAAAATAGAATTTTCTTCATCACTTAGTTCTTTTAACAGATTCCGGATAGCCTCAGGTCTACCCCCAAAATTTTCTCCATGAAAACGCTCTGACATCTTCAAGGCAACACAGAAATAAATCTGAGTCGGATTCTGTAGTGTACACGTTACAGCTAACTATTTGTCTGTGAAACGAATATTGTTCTAAAAATGCCACTTGCAGAAATATTTTGGCAAGAAGGAATGTTCTTATCTGTAGTAGCCAAGGTCATATAAAGGTACTGAGTAGCCTGTCTCATTTCCTGTTTCAGGGAAGGCAGGTCAAGGTTATTTGTAATGGGCTTTGTCCAGGAGACGTATGGGTAGCAGTCTACGGTTAAGAAAGTCATTTTGCATGCTATAAACAAGCAGAAGATTGTGAATTGTAAATTAAGTTTTTTTTTTTTTTTGAAATCTTAAAATATGACACATTCATAACATAGAAAGAGTATGAGGTTCCACAGCATAGCAGTACAAAATACAGTGAAATACAGCTTAGTATCATTTGATATCATATCTTAACAAATAAGTGATGTCAATACATAAGAAAGGAAACCACATTAGCAGCAACTGCAGAGTCATATATAGTCACCAGAAACTATGAGCAAGGTAGTATAAGGTGTAACTATATATAAAATTTTCCATTTTCCCATAACATTTAAGTAATTCCTGTACACTTTCCTGCTGTGTAGGTTTTTTTTTTTTTTTTTTTTTTTCTTTTTAGTTTGGCAGTTTTCTTCATGATGACCACCATAACATGAAAATACTTTTATTCTTATGAATATTCTTTATTATCCTCACACATCCCCAGAATTTCTGTAACCTTTTTTCAAATAATTTTAGAGGAAATTGTCATTTGAAGACTTCATTTTTAAGGGAAATGTTTTGCAGCCATAAATGAGAGCAAGTCTATTAACAGAGTTTATTTCTTTTTTCGTTTCATTGCAGGATATAATGTTTATCAATTTAGGTACACATCTCTCAAACCTTTGGTTTCATGCTGTGCAAGTGGAAATCATTATTGACTTTCCCTTTTTAAGGTGCATAGTCAACAACGTTCATATTGCATTAGAATCCAAGTAAAGATAAATGTGATGTTCTCTCATATCAAGCAGCATAAATGGTTTATTTACTGTGCAGTTTGAGCATACTTAACATTTTCTTCCATAACTCTTGGACGGTTGTAAAAGTAGTTTAAAAAAGTGTGTGGATGTCATTTTGAGCACTGTCCTCAACTGTCAGTAGTCTGGACTAGTTACAATAGAACATTTCATTCTTGTCTTGTGTCATATTCTCTAAAAAATTTCCCAATGTATTCTTCTAGGA